GAGGGTATGAAAGGGCGGGTGTTGGACGCCATCTTGAGAAGGGCGAAGCATAACTTTCAGTGCCTTGGAGGCCATCTTGAGTGGGGAGGGTTGGGTGGTGGAGGTGGAGGGGCGCCATCTTTAGAAGGGTGAAGCAAGCGCCAAGCCTAGCAAAAAAAAAACGAAGGTGGATTCGTGAAACTGGGAAAACCCAAGGGGCTCGTGGAAGACCTGCTGTATGTCAGGCACCGTCTGTTAATTAATTCATGTTAATTGATTCTCACAAAACTCATGCCACGTGGGAAATGATGATGTTGATGTTAGCAGAAATCATCACTAACCTGCATGCAGTGCTTACTTATTCTGTGCCATTTCACATACTCAAGTTTATAAGAATATAAACTCCAGAAGGTGGCTTCCTGGGTTGGAATCACTGGGAGGGACTCTCTGGAAACTTCTCAGGGACACCCAATAAAACCAGAGTGGAGGAGACACTCTGTCCCTCTGCTCTCCCAGAGGACCCACTCTCTCCCTTCCAGCTTCTGGAAGCTGGAAAAGACAGAGATGGACCCTCTGGTAGGGCCTCCAGCAGGCCAGTACCAGAGGGACAGGTGACTTCCAGCCTCATATGGCCCATTGCCACCTCCAGAATTGTAGGAGAATAAATCCGTGTAGCTTTAAGACACTGAATTTGGGGTAGGTTGTTACAGCAGCAAGAAGAAACTGATACAAACTATAACGACTGTAACAATAACATTTCACGGCACATCAGGGCTGTAGGTAACTCTTCACCTGGATTGTTTTATTTAATCCTGACAATCCCAGAGGAAGTGCTACTGTCCTCCATGTGAACAAACAAACAACAAACAAAAAGGTCCAAGAGGTTCAATGACATGCTAGAAGCCATTTCCCAGCTACCAAGTAATGCATCCTGAATCAATGAATATCTCAAACACCCTGAGTTAATTATTTGCAAGTTATTTACTTGTGGAGAGGGGAACTAACAGGCACTGATTTCCTTGGAGGATGCAAGATCCGCCATGATGTTCTGCATCATCACCTGGGGACCACAGCTGCGGAGTCAGCCATCTAGGGACTGAGATCCCCCTGAAATCGTGAGCCCCCAATCAACTCCCGTCCTCTCCATGGCTCTTGGCAGATCTTTGGACGACGAAAAACTTGACTGAAAGGAGTCGAGTTTAGCTTTCTCTGCAAAATGCATGGGGCAGGGTCCCTGGATGACAACCTCCCAGTTCCCTGTTCAGATTTGCAAAGCCACCGTGATTGCCACCCACGCCACAGAAATTGCTAGAAACCATCCAGAGACTCTCCCTGCCTCCCCCCCCCCTTCCTTGCATGGAATCCAAGCATGGAAAGCAGAACAGCTTACTCTGGAATCCACCAGAATGTTCTCCTGGCACAACCACCAATTTTTTTTTTTTTTTAACATATCCAGTTTTTTCCAACTCTTTTGCTTCCAAGCATGTGGGTCTCTCTGGAATTGCCTTCCTCGACCAAGTACCGAAATTGTGAACCAAAGCAGCTCAGCTCGAAGGTAGACTCCTGTGTCTCTGCGTCTCAGGTTGTGTTAGCTTTGCACTCCATCAATTCATTTTCCCCCACAACTGTCCTGGGGAAAGTGGGAATCTGAAGCAACTGGTCTCTATTTTATTTCTGCAAGGAAGGACCTGGCATGAGGTCGTGTCAGGCAGAGGCTACCGAGCAGGTGAGACAAACTAGAACTGGAGAGGCCAGCTGAGTCTGCATATCTGGGACCAGAGGACGACCGTGGGGCTTCCCCTGCAGGCCACTGCGGATGACAGAAGTACTAAGAACCCTGCAGCCTCAAAAGACCTGGCGGTGCCGAGCGCAGTGGCTCACGCCAGCAATCCCAGCGAGTCGGGAGGCCGAGGCAGGAGGATCGCAAATTGGAGGCCAGCCTCAGCAACTTGGTGAGACCCTGTCTCAAAATTTAAAAAAATAAAAATAAATTAAAAGGGCTGGGGAGGTGGCTCAGGGGTAGGGCATCCCCGAGTTCAATCCTCAATACGGGGGGAGGAGGAGGAGGAGGAGGAG